CATAAGCACACAACGAGGGTTCGAGTGTTCGGGCTTTTTTAAGAGATTTGCAGAGCTAGCACGAGCGATGCGAACTGTCGGTTATATAGCTCGGGAAATCTTAGACCGCTTCCGACAATTACTATCTCCGCTCGCTCTTGTTGGCGCATTTACAACTTGCCTCACGTTTTCCAACCTTTTGTGTTTATCTGCTGCTACAAACTACGCCGGCCCTTGGCTCTTCGTCTCTCTTTCTCTTTCTCTTTCTTTTCGTCTTGTCGCTTCGCTAAAGCACGCGCCTCGCGCGATTGTTCCTCTCTACACGTGTACGTATGCGTACTTACATTTTAATTGAATCCTATACTGCACGCGCCTATTACATCTCTTTCTCTCTGCCGCTTTGTCTCTCTCTTTCTCAAGCACCTTCTGACCAGTACCTGCCTTGTTTATTCCCACGATCGCTACGATCACTCGCTACTACATGTTTTGCCTTATTCAGTGTCATCGTTACATCCACTTCATTCAATTTTTCCAGCTTTTCCTTTGCTCATTTTCAACTAAGAGTGCGACCGCTTATAAATTCATTGAGCAGCACTGCGATGCGAGCGCTACATTTTTTTAACGCGTGCCATTCGTAATTTTGTTTGCAATCCTCTTGCATTACATGGTAACAGAAATCGATCCGTACCAGCAACCTGCCACTCGTAGTTTACTTGTAACTTTTAATAAAGCCACAACATTCCAAAGATACCATTTTTCAACTCAACTTTCAAGGCGAAACTCTAAAGACTCTTACGAGGGTCAACATTTTATATCTTTTTAGTAAATTTCATGTAGAGAGAAATTATATCGCGGTAAGCTTTCTCTTGCAGACTATTGTAACGTATCGGTTATCCTGAACGCCTTACCTCCACAATGATTAGACCTTAAACTGATTTTTGTAGTTTATAAATATAAAATCGAACATATTTATCGAACTAGCGAACCATCTATAATGCATGAAGCAAGGAACGTATTGTTCTCTCTCGAAAGAACCGTACGCCCTGCAAGCTTAAATTTTCAACTGGCGGGGCAAAGGTTCGCTGCGAACTCAAACAGATAGCAATTCAATTTTTAACGCCATAATTTATTTACTATCGAGAAATCCGAAAAATTTCTATTCGAAAATTATTTTTTTTTACTTTGTAGCAGAAATAATTATGTTTAATATTTTTTTGGTTACTTATTCATTTATTTTTATCACCGTTTGCTTTACTGACCTGACGGAGCTCGCGTAAGTGAATTTCCATTGATTGGAAAAACAAGTTTATTATGCGGGACATTGAATGTTTATCAATTATCATTCACTCTAAATGATTTTAAGAAAAGCTCGATTCGTTGAAAAAAATGTAAATTACGAGTGTGCTATTTACTGCTATGGTAGCTACTGGCAGCTGCCTCATGTATACGTCATAACCTCTTATCGCTATGCGGCTATTTGGCTTTTAGTCAGCGTCGACGATAATATACCAAAGAACGTAATTGTGAATCATTTATTGAATTTGAAGAATTTGTTCGTTTTTTGATTATGTTTCTATGTGACGTAATGCGATGATTAGTTGGAAGAAGTTGCGCGAAAAAGACTGATCTCGTGTAAAAGGTAGCTCGTAAACAGTAATGAAAGCGGCATACATCAGTGGATACATTCGGCGAAGAAGCTAGCGCGTAACGCCGGTTAAAAGTTAACGAGCCATTTCTTTCGTTTCGAAGCTTACGAGCTCGGCGTCGCAAAACTGAGCCCCGAAATTATGGGCGAAGCGGCGATATCTCGCAAACGAATTTGCAGACTCGTGCGCGAGAGTAGGTATAAGAGAGTTCGAACACACGCGCAAGGAAAAAAATAAAGAGGAGAGTGGAGAGAGGAGAGAGGAGAGAGGAGAGAGGAGAGAGGAGAGAGGAGAGAGGAGAGAGCCGAGGCCAATGCCGCCACTCGAGCACGTTTTCGACTTGGCTCTCGGCTACTTGGCTGTCGAACCTGCAGTATTATTTACTATCGCATCTCGCGCGAACAAAGACCAATACGCCAAGCTCGCTACCGTACAGAACTATACGCTACGTCTCTTTGACGTTCCGCTGCTGCACTGGTTGCATGAAAATCAACGTCGACTCGTCGTTCGTTATTTGCTCCAGAGCTACGATGATTTTGATTGCTCGAACAAAGGCTTGCCGTGCAGCTACGTATACACTGGACTGCTCGCCGGTCTGCCAGCCTGGAGCAGGCGGCCCAGATGACATAATTAGGTCGTCACTAAAATTAGACCTTATGTGCCCCCTCCCTCGGATATTGCTCACGCACAGCTCAATTTTTACGACATTGAACCTCGGGCCAAACGGGTCAAACGGGCCAAAACCAAGCAGTTCCTCGTTATCAACGCCTGTCCGTTTATTTCTCACAAAACTCCGAGTTGTCCAATCAATTCCCAATCCTGGTCAGTACTCGACTGTTTTATATTTTCATAAAAATCATTATAACTACACAAGCCAAAGTGCTTCAGATCTTTCGAAGCATAATCTTGTATCGAACGAAAAAAAAATTTCAAGTTAAGAACAACTACGTTCGTATCATTTCTTACCTACATATTACTTGGATCAACGATTAATGGCTCTGTTTACATAGCCGACAAAGTCAGTATATGAGATGAACGTCAGTTACTTCATTCCTGATTTTTTCTATTTTCAATTTACTTAAACATCGTTGACTGTTGGAGCCACGCGCTTAATGATTATAAGATATGTTCGTTTTCAAAAACTAATCATTTGGAACGTTTTCTAATCTTAGTTTTATAATTTAGATTTATTATGTTTGACGGTGGATTTTTTGCAATGTTTTTGTGTTTACAAATATGAACATTTCATAATCAAGTTGAAAATTTAAGAGACACACTGAAACATGAATATATCAGTTTTTGATACGGCATTCACTTATTTACTTTATTCTTCTTTCGGGCAAGTCTAAATATTTTCGATTACTTTGTTACCTTGACATAATTAATTTACGTAATAATAGAGAATTGAGAGACAGAGAGAGAGAGAGAGAGAGAGAGAGAAAGATGCGTGAGATACACATCTACATTGTATATACACAGCTACATTGTTTTCTGACCACCGGCATCCATAATAGGTCCAATTTGAATATTTGTTGTTACTAGTGATGTCTAGCGCACGAAGTCTTTTCGAGTTTATTTTAATGCACAAATATAGATTAAAACTTTTATTGGCAACATTGGAAATTCAAAAATCCAATACGTATTAAATACTCCATTGATTTGATATGAGATTCAGCCATTGATATTATTTATTAGGTAAATAAATGTGCAGATACCTTGATACTCATGATTTAAAAATGTTATCAATGAAATTTCGAATTTTTATCATCTTCTAAAGTACTAAGTTCTAAAAACATTAATTTTCTATAGTTATATTCTCTACCATGTAAATAACATACTTCGGTATAGACATTGTTTGTGTTTAGTGCATTTTTTAAAACTATCTAATATTATTATATAACTTAATGAAGCCTTATTAAATAATCTATCGATTTATATCATTTATTATTGCCTTCTTACTTTATTTGAAACTAAATTTTCACATAGAGCAAAGTTCAGTCAATTTCTCTATCAAAGGATTAGTTGGTTTTTATTTTTAGGTTATAGCATACTTAAATCAGTCAATTAATATTAAATTTATTAAATTTATGCCAACTATACAGATACATTTTTCAAACTATCTACGAAAATCCACAGTAATCTTTCGCAAAATATGTATATTATCACGTAACAACTGATTACGTGACTTCCAGCCAATCGAACGAGGAATAAATTGGCTTCACTTTTTATAAGAGGCTTTGTCCTTTTTACAAGAGGATCTTTTATAAGGGGATTGTAAGAGGAAAGAGAAATAAACTAATATTGACGCTTATTATTATTTTTATTGTTGGGAGTCCTATGAATCCGGTAATGAAAGATTACGTTTTTTTGAACGTTAAAATTCATAATCTTAAAGAAATATTTGCACTATTTCAACAGGAATTTGTTTATAGAAAAGCAAGTTTCACTTATTTTTGCTTACTTAGCCTATTATACTGGATTTCGATGCTAGAGTGATGAGAAAATTGTCGAAATGACTTGTAAAAATAATAGTGATATTTTAACAGAAAGCGTGTTGCGAGAATCTACAATGAAACTATAGAAAGAAAAAGAAATGCATATGTAGAGTAAAAAACTGCAAGAATAGCGAAGAGGCAAAAAAATATGAAACTGGAGTACGCGTGTACGAAGCCAGGAAAGTACAGGTATGGAGGTCATGCGAGGATGGATGGGCGCGGCGTATACGCGAGGAATGAATGATTAAACAGTGCCTCGCATGCACACGCATCTTTCGCACGGCAGTCTCTCCGCATTTTTTATTCCGTGTATATCGCCGGCGACATGGATCTGAGTACTTACGTCCCGTGTATTGTCGCTTACCCTTGAAGGTTGCCTGCGACTTGTAATTATCGTAGCACAGCAGAACCGCCGAATCAGCACGTGTTGATAATCGTCTCGATATTTATTTAATCGCTGCCCCTCCGTAGGCGCATGCATGCGCTACTCGTAACCAGTGATGGGTGGTTTCATATCAGTGCTACTCGTAGACGAGCCGCTCGTACCGCCAATTTTCATGCGATTATAATTTCACGAGTGACAAAGAAAGGAACTTGACTCGATGAATTTGATGCGAGGTACCGAAATGATATTTGAAGGGATGAAATCTGGTTTCAGATTTGAATAATGTGCAAAGCGTGAAGAGAACGATGACTTCGATGATGGGTGTGCAGCATCAAGCTTCAGCAATGTCCCAAGACGCAGTCGATTACACGAGCTACTTGCAGCAACGGCGACGTCGCGCACCGCTGAAGGTGCACGCACACGAGCAGCGCTCGGCGGCGAGCGAGCAAAACGCCAGCTTCACGAGCACAAAGGGCTTGCTTAATGGCCCGGGACAAAATAATTGCTTCCTCAACAGCGCTGTACAGGTAACCGCTTTTCTATTCTAATACTCGTGCGTTCGCTCGTTCCTCGTTAGCCATTTCGTGCACATACGTAAACACCGTGTCCTGGAACTCCATCTTTCCCTTGCTGGTTATCAGTGTCTGGACATCTCGCGAGTACGCCGTCACTTCCGTTTTACCGCGTTTTTTTCCGCCCGCGAAACGATCGTGTACGAAAGCCAGACGAGCGCGTACTTGCGGCGCCTGTGCGTCGGCAACCCGACGCGCGGGCGTGTCAGCGCCACTATTCCATCGAGTCTCGAGAAATTCGCTGATTCCGACTATGCGTCGCGCACGCCCTTGTCCGCCGACATCCATTTCTGCAAATCGCTCGATTAATCATCTTTCCAGCACTAGACGCGGATGACCGATCGTACTATCGTTTCAGCCTGAGACATTGGCACGTTCTCGATGACCCGGCAGCTCGTCAAAAACCACCCGTCGAGGAAACCGCGCGTGCTTCAATTTTTAATAAAATTATCAGCAGTATATAATGTTGCCGATCGAGAAGGCGAGAGCTGTATTCCGTGCATATCTAAGCGGACTTGATGAATTATTTTACTTCCTCAATTTCCATACACGTTGCGGTGACGAGCGGAAGGACGAGCTTATTTGTATGCGATCTGAAGCTCGATGGCAAGTGCGTCAATTAGCACCCTTCCCCGATAAGATCGGCTTTCGTAAATTAGATTTTTCGAAAGTCTCCAATATTCTTAGAGTAGTTGCATAATTGAGAGGACAATATTGCAGCATTATATCGTAGCGATGTTGTCCTTCTGCCTCCGACTGATTCATTGGAATTTGGCCTATCTGGCCGTGATCAGGGCGCGACGAGGTATCTACGCATTCGCAGACTTGTTGCGACAATCGAGCGCTTGCCAGCGCGTCAAGTGGGACTTTATTCGAGTGGCATGGTGATCGCATGACGCGAGGACTCTGCGTATTTCCCACGTTAACCTGCGTTTCCCATCGATCGGCACGCTCTGCATTATCGTTAAGCTCATAATTACTGCATAACACTTAATATATTGCTCTTCTCTGCGCAGCGTAACAGTGGTAGTCGCACACGCCGCGGCGGTTCCCACAGATATACGAGCTGTACTGCCCTGCGCAGAGCTGTAAAGGCCCGGCTCTCGAGCTACTCGACCGTGGATTTGAATAATGATGATGGGGACGACGTCGGGGATAAGCTTTTTTCAGTCCTCTCTCTCTTTTTTTTTTGTCTCTTTGCGAGACGACGGCGCGTGTGGCACTGCGCACGCTGACTACTGAAGCCGTCGACTGATTAGCATGAATCCTGCGTGGGGCGTGCGCCGTACGTGAGGCGCGACGCCAACGATTCAGCCGAGCGAGCCTCGATCTCGCGCGACGGAAACAACGGCGTCTTTATTGCGAACAACGTTGTCACTGGGCGGCGCGCGCTGTGTCAGAACAGCGAGTAGAACGAGTACAAGAATCGGCCGACCAGTGGCCGCGCGCGTAGCCTCTATAGGAGTCAACGCTGAACTTGACTTTACACTCGACTGCGGAGCGGCCTTTTAGTAGCCCTAAAACTTACCTCGGATGCCCTGCGTCGATCAATGACGATCATCGGTTTGACTAGCGCTGTCGAGATATTTGCTCAGCTGACTATAGCGCTCGGTTGGCGAAATCACACCGCGCCGGCCAATTTGCAAAATACTCAACTCGGCAAACGCTCGGACCACCCGAATCGCCACGTCCAGGCCGCTTGCTCTGCGCATCTACAATTTCTCTGCTCTTGCAACACGTCGGCGGCGGATCGCGAAAAAACGGCGTTCGTTGCTCACTCGCCAAATGGCCGGTCATCTCGCTCGCGCTGCGCCTTGCACCGTCATTTCTTCCCGAGAGTAAATCTTGGATGCTCTTGGCAATCGGCTTTTGGAAGAACGCGCCAATTACCATACAAACAGTTCACCGAGCGGTTCAGTATTCGTTTAGATTTTTTGCGAATTCAATGCCTAGCTGCTCGCAAAGAAAACTCATTTTCTTAGCCGAGATTAGACTTTGTCGTCGAGCACAAAGGAGTCTATCCACGGACGGTTCTTATCAAGTCGATGAAAAATGACGAGCGAGGCCGTGGCTGCACCGCGCGAGGGTACTATACAACACGGCGCTTGCCTCTTAATAAACCATCGCCGCTGCACCTACGAACAAGGGAAAAGACCATTGTGTAGACTGTGCGATACCCAGTCAATAACTACCCCGGAGGCTATCTCCCGCGTCACGGCCAACTGCTTTCCTTTCGTAATGCTCTTGGCCCACATGCGGCCAGTGGTAGATCTTTCAAATCAAGTTAGAGGCACATTGCGAATCCTCTTAAAAATCGACCCATTCGATACGTCGATACACGAGTGAGCAATGTGCCAGTCTCGCAAAGGAAATCATGCCAACTTTTATTTGGCGATCGCCTCGACAGCAAACAAGCTCGAGCTTTCTAATGGTATGCTCACTTACGATTACTTCTTAATTCAACCGAGTCTCGGTTTGACAAAAGCCCACACTGGACTATTCGGAGTGGCTTCAATTCCATACACTCGACTTGGAACTAACATCTTGTCACTTTAAAGTTTTCAAATGCTATTGCGCTTGCCCTATTTTCAAAGAAACGAGTGTTATTAGCATACTCCACTCGATACCGCCGGCGTTGTTTCCGCATTTCTCGTTAAAACTTTATTGCGTCGGCTGCAAGCCAGTAAGCAATCTAGCTTGTAAAAATAAATATACGTTCGGTATAATGTATGGGGAGTATTCGATCACTGTAGAGCAAGTAATAATCTAATAATCCAAATAACAGCAATCGACAGGTCGCAGTCGGTTGTAGCTCCTCTAACTCAGCGTACCGAGTGCTCGACGAACATTCAAGACGACGAATACGAGAAACGTACGTAAAGAAAGTACAGTTACCGATATTAGCGGAACGCGAGATGTTTACTCGTTATACAAAAGAAAATGGAAAGATGCCTATTATATTGCCGCTTAATGGCAATACGAAAGAGCCACGCAAACTATACATACAAAGTACGCGGACCTACCTCAGAAATACACTCCGGTCTATTGACAGTGTGACCAAGCGAAATCCCAGAACAAATCTTATTAGGGTATATCAGCTAATACTAATTGTTGGCCTGTTTTTTCTCATCGTCGAGCGTTTGACTCCATATCTTCCGAAAGATCTGTGATAATTCTGTTGGCAAAAAAAAACCGAACATGAAACCGGTATTAGAAACAATTTCACTGATAGGTACACTTTTCTCGTAGCAAGTGCAATCCAGTGAAAGTATAGGCATTATTGTTAATGTTCATTCGTGTTCAATGCACCTTCAACGGTTGCAGTGTCATAATCCGCGCACAATAATGAAGATTACATGAAACCCACGAGCGCAATCCAAATAACAAATTTTCATTTTCATCGTCCGTCGTCGCGGTGAAAAGCATTTTACTCTTATCGCACGTGTGTGCAAGAGTTGACAAGAGTAACGGTCTGTGCGTCCTTTTAACGGAATTTCCAGATACTTGATAAGATTCAAGTGGGTATTTTGTTACTGTTTGCTCGAACATTAGTAGGATCGAAAGAAATATAAAGAGCTCGAGAGTTAGCTGGGCAATCGATAAGGGGAAAATAGATTTGACGCAGGGCTTTCGGCGACAATTTTCGCATAGATAGGCGTCTAAAGTAAGATAGACGCGGCGCATTCTCCGAGTGAGAATATTACGCAGCTCCAATCAAAGTAATTGGCTCGTGTCCGTCGACTAGCAGGTACCGCTCTATAGCGCGGATCGGCGATCGATGGAGAAGCCGATTCTCATTAGCCATCGGAGATTAATCATTGGGGAAAATGTGCATGAGATAATCGAATACCTCGAGCTATTGTTCGCTGCACGACTGGTCGTTGTTTCTCTTGATTATCCGACTGCGCAGAACTTGAGTTTGGCTTGCGAGATCAACAGCCGCTCGAATCGTTGTTCGATCTTCGTCCAGCAGGTTTCTCTCGATCGAGATCGAACGCGAGTACGAGGATACGACTGATTTTGAAGATCGCACCAGCATCTGCAAATCTGCAAGCGGGTTCGAAAATAAAGAGCTTGGCCGGAATAGGTGTCACGGAGTAGCGTTTCGAAAGTCCCGTTGAACGAGAGTAAAAACACGGTAGAAGTTGGCATACGTTGTCGTGAACAGGCTAACGAAAGTGCGGTTATTGTGCGTACGAGGAAGCAGAAGTGGAACGAAAGAAATCGCGCGTTAGGATTGAGGCGTGGCGAGTACGACTGTTTGTGCGCGGGACACGGAAAACAGGGTGGGTGAGTCAGAAGGGGAGCACCTGTTTACGGAAAATGTAGTAGCCCTAATGGCAAGATGATACCGCACACAACACGTGTCAACGTCATTGCCCTTATTGCCTTGCGTGTTCCTTATTTCCGCCTGCGTGCACGTTGCTAAGCTATTACGTTGTTTATTTGTTTGCTAAACCGACGGATTTTCTGGGAACACGCAATCAAGTCTATCGACAAATCTTCGGCTCGTACCTCGAAACTGCCAAATAAAGAATAGACTCGACCCGGCGCGCACGTGTCGTTGGCCGACGCGTAGCCGCGATGGTCAATAAAGTACCCGGAGCATCTTAGCGATGATCAATTTATTCGCGCGCAACGCACTTGTACAGTCTCGTGCATTGTTACGGAAGGGGAAGGCACCTGCTACGCTCGAGAAAAGCAGTTCTTGCTTAGCACTTGAGCTGTCGGTAAGCTGCGGAAGTCATTATGCCACGGAGCGATATCGTCAGTCCCATACTGCTCGACGACGACATGTGCGTTTAGGGGGCTCGCTTGGATAATTGGGGATCGAAGAACGGGACCAAACGTGTAGGGAGTGTTCATTTCGTGTCATCGTCCATGCGACAACTCATTATCCTATAATTGTCGTTGCTTTGAGCGTTGTCGTCGCAACGAAGTTGCATCGGAGAGAA